CTCTCTCTCTCTCTCTCTCTCTCTCTCTCGCACTCTTTCTCCCCCCTCTGTCTTTCTCTCTCTCTCTCTGTACTGAGGATTGAACCTAGGGCCTTTGTATTGAGCTTCATCCTCAGCCCTTTAAAAAATTTTAAAACCTTGACATAGGATCTTGCTAAGTCCCTAAATTGCTTCAGCTGAAGTCTAACTTGCCATCCTCCTGCCTCAGCCTCAGCCTCCCATAGCACTGGGATTATAGGTCTGCACCACCACATGCAGCTAAATTTGATGCTCTCTCCACTTCCCCATCTTCTTGATTGCTACTCACCCTTCAGATCTCCACTTAGTTTTCATCTCCTCTGGGGGTTCTCTCCTCCACAGGTAGTAGACTCCTTTAGCATGGTGCAGGGAGTATGTCTTATAGTCTGTGATTGCACACTAATTAGATAATGTCTTGATTCTACCCAACACTTTGCTTGCATTGGACACCCTCAAATTTCTGAAGCCTGGCATAGTGTCTGGGGCATGGTGACTCCCTACTATTTGCTGAATGAAAGTATGAATGAATACCAGCCTGTCATTTTCTTATTAATGAATTTGAACCTCTTTTTACCTTGGGACACAATGGTAATGTGCCGAGGAGAGCTAAGCCTCCCTTTGGAATTCTGGCTGTAAGCTGCTATGCTCACTCGATATTCAGCACCTGGCCTCAGATCTCCGATTACTTCTTCCTGCCAAAAATCAAACAAGAAAGACGCTAATGATCAGAAGCTCTGCTTGAGAAAACTGTGTAATTTCTATAAGATTTACATCTTGAAGCCCCCAGTGAAATTGCTTGGGACACACATTGTTTTGCTTTGGCTAGGACTGGCCCAGTTTTAAAATTTGCTGAAAGGAAAACACCACATAATATTTCCCAAGACTGGAGGGTCACCCTTCATTGGAATCTACATACTACCTGAGGGGGGGATTCATTCACACCATCAACTGTTGCTCTCAGCATCTGAATTCCTTGATTGAAATACATTTTTGGTTGCAGGTAATGATCCTTCCCAGGCTAGGAATCCCACATTTTTCCTTTCTATTTGCAGACTTCAGAGATACTCAGAGACCAGTTACACCTCAAACTGAAGACTTGATTTGTACTTATCAAGTAGGGACTAAAAATAAAAATGAATAAGGTATGATAGTTATATGGACTAATTTCCCATCCTCAAGATGAATATAATTATTTTGTGTTATAAACATGTAATTATAAAGAAAGAACAAAAATGTAAAAGGCCTCAGAATCGCCACAAAGGCTTTCTTAAAACAAATACCTGGGCCTGGTCTAGTATTTCTGGAAAAGAGCCTGAGAATTTGCATTTATAATAAATTCCCAGCCCAGGTGATGCTGCTGGCCCAGTGACCACCTGTTGAGTGCCACTACGGTTAACAGTGGATAGATGTGTGAAGCCCCCTGCACAAAATCCTGATCTAAAAGTCTCAGTGAAGAGGATTCTCTGTGCTCAGCCTCAGCAAAGGTGGTGTGTTGGGCTGGGGATGTAGCTCAATGGTAAAGTGCTTGCCTAGCCTGTGTAAAGCCCTGGGTTTGAGCCATTGAACTATGCAAAGAAAAGAACAACAAAAAAAATGTAAAGGTGGTGTATTAAGTAGTAGGTAGGAGCCTGGCTTCATCAGTGAGAAACAGCAGCACAGTGTCATAGAGAAGACACCAGCTTGGAGTCAGCAAGTCCTGGACTTGAATCTTGATCTTACCATTTAGCATCAACTTTGGCCTTGACATTAAATCCCTGAGCCTCAGCTTCTCACTGCATGAAATAGCCATGACAATACAACTATCTGGCAAGATCATATGGTTTGGGGTAATGTGCATGGTAGCTGGTATGGAGGATGTGCTCAAGCAATGGGTTGTACTGACCACTGTCTTGGGTATGTGAGTGTGTGGGGATGCCCCTCCTCCTCCTCCTTACAAAGGGTCCCCATTCACTCCCCAAAGCCTGCTTCCTGACACCCTTCCCTGGCCATACTAATATGGTAATTCCACCCAATATATAATGTAATATAATATATAACATTCCTGACATGAAAATTCAAAACTTCTCGAACACTGACATGACACTATGAATAGAAAATTTGACTGTGACAAGTCATAGTCAAAACACAAGTGCACCAAAAATATTGCATAAAGTTACATCCAATCTATATGTGTAAGGTGTATATATGAAACATAAAATAAATTTTATAGTTAGACTTGGTCCCATCATCAAGATATCTCATTATGTCTATATTAGGTCCCCAAATCCAAAAACATTAAAAAATGAAATCTGAAACATTTTGATCTCAAATATTTCAGAGAAGGGAAATTCAATCTGCATTACAAATTTTTACTACTTCTCCTATGAGAATGTAAGTCACTTGAGAAGAGGAATCATATATTTCTTCATAATGTCCTCTGCAGATGACTAAACATACACAGTTGCTGAAAAGCAGGAGACTCAAAATAAGTTTTGAAAGCATTCACGAAATAATTAATAAAGTTTAATGCAGTAGTTCTTAACCCCTGACTGCATCTTAGAATCACTCGGACATCTAAATTAATCAATACTAATGTTTGGGGCCCACTCTGGACCACTTAAATCAGAATCTCTGGGAGCAGTTTCTGGGTGTCTGCTTACCACTCTGCAGGTGATTCTGTACCCAAGTTTGTGTACTAGTGGTCTAGGGTGTGTCTCACCTCCCATGTTCTGATCCCTGTGTTCCCCTTCCTCTCTTTGTCATGTATTTCCAGTTTCTCCCATAGCTACCTGATATGCTTGTATTTATTGTACTCAAATCTCTCTCATCTCTAAAACAATCATTCCCCTACCTCACATGACTCTTTGCTTCTCTCTTCAAAGGTCATCTTCTTTTTTTTCAGCTTTAATTGAGTTTATTGGTACTTTAGGGATATTGACTGCATCTTAGAATCACTCGGACATCTAAATTAATCAATACTAATGTTTGGGGCCCACTCTGGACCACTTAAATCAGAATCTCTGGGAGCAGTTTCTGGGTGTCTGCTTACCACTCTGCAGGTGATTCTGTACCCAAGTTTGTGTACTAGTGGTCTAGGGTGTGTCTCACCTCCCATGTTCTGATCCCTGTGTTCCCCTTCCTCTCTTTGTCATGTATTTCCAGTTTCTCCCATAGCTACCTGATATGCTTGTATTTATTGTACTCAAATCTCTCTCATCTCTAAAACAATCATTCCCCTACCTCACATGACTCTTTGCTTCTCTCTTCAAAGGTCATCTTCTTTTTTTTCAGCTTTAATTGAGTTTATTGGTACATTTTAGGGATACAGAACAGTTACATTCATTGTTGGGATCTTGTACCTCTACATGACAAGTCTTGATTCTCATTTTTTCCCCTTACCTCTGCCCTCCCTTCACCCCCTCCTCCCCTCCCCATCTACAAAGCTGTGTCTACTTCCTAACCTTCTAGTTACCTCTCAACTTACTTCTTTCTATCTGGTCCCTCTCCTGCAAACTTATTGCAATGTTCTTACCAAAGTTCCCATAATAACACTGCAATAAATCCAATGAATGCATCTATTTCAGTCTCTATGACTCTCTCCAACTTTCAGTTTTGTTGTTGCTTCTGAAATCTTTTGGATTCCTTGGAAACAACGGCTCTGATCCTTCTTAGTCTCCTACTTCTCTGGTTTCTGCTTTTCATATCCTCTATCCATTGCCCTTTTTCTTTTGGTCTTTCCCAGGAACTTGTCCATTACAATTTTTTTCTTTCCCTCTGTAGACTCTTTTGTAGACAAACACTTCTGCACCCGTAGCTTCTGGCATCACCTTTGTGGTGATGCCTTCCAAATGTGAACCTCTAGCTCTGGCCTGCCTCTTGGTCTAGGTGTGCATTTGTGACTGCCTCTTGAACAACTCCACCCAATGGCTACCAAGCCACTTAAGTTCCACATAACTAAAGCTCAACTAATCATTCTTTGTCACACTAGCAAAATAGGGCTTAACTAATTACCCAAGCCTGAAATTTTTTATACTGTCCTCTTTGTGCTCCTCTCTGATCCCTAACCACCACCCAATCAGTTACTGATGAAGCTGAGTCCGTTAAAAAAATAATTTGAACTGATTCATGTCATTTCATCCTTACAGGCATATAAGGCCAAGTCTTCATAATTAAGACAGTGGATTGTGCTTTCCCCTGCACAAAAACCTTCAACTCAGGTTCCTCAGATTGCTACGGTAAAGTCATATTCCTAACACTCAGATCTGAGTATATCTCTTTCCACTTTACAACCCCCTTAGTGTAGCCTCTTTGTGCTCCCCTCTTTATCCTTCTAGCATCTTCCCCTGCTATCCCCCCGCCTTGCCTTTTACATAGTAGTCATACTTAAGCAGTTGGCAAGGCTCAAATGTATGCCATTCAATTCCTTGCCTCTGGGCCTTTGAACCTGATGCTTGCTCCAAGTGCAATGCCCTCTCTCCCTACTATTGCCTCTCTCAACCTGCTCATCCTTCATGACTCAGTTCCGCTGAGACGTTACCTCATTCCTCTAAACCCAGCCCCAGTCTGGTTAGGTGCCCTCCTCTATGCTTCCTATGTGTCCTTGGTGGACCTCAATCTTAGCACTACTGGCCTTATATTGTAATTGCTTGTTTGTCACCTTCTCCCCATCCATATGTGGGCAGGAAGCAAGTTCTTATTCTTCTGGCATCCCAAAGCTTAGCATAGCATTATCAGAATATAGTAAATACTGATGCAATGCTTTTTGATGAATGAATAAATGTTCTGAAGTAAAATGAAAGCAATCAGGAGCCAAGATGACCCATATAAACAGATTACCTCATCAAGAAACCAGTTTTAACTACTGACTCCTCAATCTTAATCAACAGTGTCGTATCTCCTATGGTGTGAAGGTGTACCCCCAAAATACACGTGCTGGAACTTTAATTCCCAATAAAACAGTGTTGGGAGATGAGCCCTAACAAAAGGAGATTAGGGGATGAGGGTACAGCCCTCCTGAGTAGATTGATGCCTTTATTTTGGAAGTGAGTTAGCATGAGAGTGGGCTAATGATTGAGAGTTGTAAGAGCAAATTCGATTCCATCTTGCTTTCTTGGTTTTTCACCTTCCACTGCTGGATGGCACAGTAAGTCTGGCACCAGATGCTGTGCAACTGCCTTTGGACTTCCCAGCCTTAAGAACCATAGGCCAAACAAATTTCATTTCTTTATAAATTACCAGTCTGCAGTATTGTTGCAAGACAAACAAAAACAGTACCTCCGCCTCAGATACCAGCGTTAGTAATTCCAAAGATAAGACAAATTTCCTCATGTCCATCTCCACCGTGCCCTCAGGACCTGCTCCCTGGTTCCTCTCCCCTTTGGCGCCACATTCAGGACCCCCGGACCCCTCAGCTACACAGCACCCCAGGGAGCATCCGTCTCAAAGCTTCCTCTCATCCTCTGAATAAGGAATTCTTGCTGAACATACAGATCTCTTTATTCCTCCCTTCTTTCTCTATTTTCATGCACCCAGCAGACACTCCACCTGCTGTTGCCAGGTTTATGTCAGGTTGAATTTGAGGGTGCAGGTGGACCTAAGAAACTCCTCTCACTCTCTCCCAACCGCTACTCTAGGCTTGTCCCATGAAGCAGAAACATGCTTTCAAATAAACTCGGTGCCCTCACAGGCTTTTGCTTTAGGATCCTTTTTCTCCTGAGAAGTCACCATGCTATACGAAGTGTGGTGGTGGGGTGCTGTGATTTCACAGATTATTGTAAGTATTAGCTATGTGCCGATACCAAATTTACTATCTTTAATTATCGTGCATGAGGGTGTTTTCCCTGTCTTAGGAAAAAAGGTATCTTTGTACACACAGCCTTATTTAATTCCTCCTTCATTCTTGGGAGATGGGTTTCTTTCTTATCTTCATTTAGAGAGCTGAAAACTAAAGCACTGAAAATTTCACAATTTGTTCAGAGACATATATTTAGTAAGTATCAAAATAGAAATTTGAAACCTGCTCAGTTTAAGTCAGACCTGAGTTCTAACTGGATAATACCTGTATGAAAAATATTAAGTGATGTTTAAAGCAACAGAACATAATATTCAAGAATAAAGAAGATTGGATTATGGTTACTTTACCTCAGGAAGTTAAATGTATCAGAACATAGAAGATGATTGATCAGAAATGCAAATGGTACCACTGAAAACCAAGAAAAATATACTTACAGATTTTTAAATATAGATTAAAAATATTTAAGCTGCTTATTTGTCATGGAAAATTAGCACTATCCTTGGCCAAGGTAGGAGGTGGAGGGTGACCCTCCCAGAAGCCACTGGTTTCCAGTCTGTCTTTTCCTGCATTGTTGTGCAGAGAAGCTGACGTAAGAGTGTGAGGGGTTAAGAGGACTGAGTAGTTGGGGCCATGAGAAGAGGAACTGGACTCAATGATTTAGCTATCATTTTCCCCCTAACATCTCCCCTCCTAAATGAAGTCCTTCATTACATTGGGAATTGTGATAACTTTTTGGATTTTCAGTAACATATCACACAATTCCACAAATCTTTGTGTTTCTGCACTTCAGCTTCTAACTACCACTTCAGCTCTGCACCAAACTAGAAAAGATGCTGAATATGTTCTCCAAATAAAGAAGCATATCATGTTTTGCTGTGTTTTGCTGTCTTGTGGGAGTCTGAAAACACAACAGAATGTTTTCTCTCTTGTACTTTATTTCTGCACAAGATAGTTAAAATAGAGGAGAAAAGTTGCCTTCTTGGAGAGAGGCCAGAGAGTATGAACAGTCTTAGCTCCTGTTCCCACTTTTTTTTTTGCAAAGTTGGGTGCTTTGCTGCAAAAACAAAAACAAATAAACAAGCAAAACAAAACAAAACTCTACTATGTGTTTGCGTAGCCCTTTCTGAAATACAACACCAAGAGTTGCCTCCTTTGTACTCCCAGCACCACTGGTGAAATCTACATATACAGTAGAGAAAAGCAAGGCAAATCCTTCCACAAAGCCCAAGAAAACCTCCGGCAACTTTGAGCCAATGAACTGTTACCTAGGCCTCTTTCCTTCCTCACACATGGCCATAACAGTGGCTATAATAATAAATTTTCATTTCAAGATCAGTATAATTATAAGAGATTGTATTTATGTTGTGTTTTGCAATTTACAATATCTTGGCACACCTTTGCCTCTTCTAACTCACAACAAGAGCTGTGAGTCAGTCCAGTCACCTTATAGATGATGCAGCTAGATCCAGAGAGTTTATATAACTGCCTTTAGGGGCAGGAGTGAGTCTAGTTTCCCTCACAACACACCATAATTTAACTGTTCCAGTCACTTGGCTCCTGGATATAGAACATCTAATTCTCAGACGAGTCTCTTTTTGAATTGCCTTTTTCACATCTTCTTGACTAGTATCACTCCCTTCATTCAGTCTGACCTGGATGACTAGTACCCTTTTGCTTCTTACTCATAACAGAATTCCCTTATTTCACTTGGGGTATGACCTCTCAAAAACTTCCAGCCTCCTTTCCGCCTGAGTCTGATCACGCGACTAGATTCTGTCCAATAGGATAAGAGCGAAAGTGCTAAGTTCAATTTCTGAATTATCACTTTAAAAGAAAGGGTTCATGTTTTTTTTCATCTGTTGGCTAGCAGATGGGTGTGGCAGTGAGCCATTCTAGACCATCTGGATGAGGGCACAAAGGGTTGGCAGAACAGTAGGGTAGAAGGAGCTGGCGTCTCTGACACAAGGATGCCACGAGAAGAGCTCTACACTGGCTTTATCCAGAGAGTCACTGAGGAAAACATAATGCACATGTTGTTAGAATCACTGCTATTTTTGACTTTCTGGACTATTAGGCTTATATTCTAGCTAATAGATTACCCAGTCCACAAAAACACCTGGGGTAACAAAGAGAGAATACCCCAAAACGATGGGACTATTGTTTACTATATGAATGCCTTTTGCTCAGCTTGATGAAATTACATTGGATGATCCCAAACTTACTTCTCCAATCCTGATTTTGGGACTGACCTTTATTTCCTTATATGCTAATTTTTTCTTCTGCTAGGAATCTAGACCATTTTGGAAATGAAGCTAGAGGTTGTCCTATTCACTGGTCCAGATGAGCATGAGCATGAAGTGAGCAGACCGCTGAACTAGAAGCTAGGAGACCCAGGTTCTATTGCCAAACTTGTTGTGGCCTTGAGGGTACTACTTAGCCTCTCTGGGCCAATGGTTCAATAGCAAAATCCTTCCATTCTTCTTAAATAAATGTCACTGGTAGTTACTAAACATGGATTCAACTTCACAATTGACTCTACAAGTCAGGTGGATCTTCCTATGCCTTAGAGACTGTTGAGGATACCTAGCAATATTTGATGGAACTCACAAGAAAATTATGAAAGCAACATCTTCCAAGTATCCATCCTCTGATGGCTGTGCAGAACACAGTAGAAAGGCTTGTAGAACCTTTTGCTTCCTGAATGGTCACATGTAGTCAGGGGCATTTTACAAGGCTTTGCAGCAGGAATAGCTTATCTTTGGGTAGATTTGTCCTGAGTATTATAGGTAAGTTAGCATCTTTGATGCTTTTCCAGTAAAACTACAACATTTATTTTTCTAGTCTCCTAGAACACCAAGGGGTCTTCATTTAGGAACTATTGTAAGTCTACCCCATCATTTAATAGCGAAAGAGAGATAAGGAAATAAGGAAAGGAGAGATTTAAAGGAGGGGCATTAATCCAGGAGCTGCTCACTGGTTTAAATGTTTCCCTTTTTTTCTCAATGAGTTTCACCTAGTTTCAGAACAGAGCTTAAATTGCTTTGCCTTTAATGATGATTCTCTTAACTGGACTCTGTCACATGAGATGAAACAGCACACAAAAGAAGAAGAGCATCTTCCTTCTAAATGCCTAAAAATCAACCTGGCACACTCGGTAGGGTCTCCTTACACTAGAACTAAGCAATTACCACTGGGCTTTAATCAACATGACATAAATACAGGAAAATTAACATTTTTATGACAAGGGACCTCCCCCCGCAAATCCTGGACAGGGATAAGAAGTAAACTCTTCTAAAACATACTTACAAAAATTGCCTGATGGCCGGATGGTCCCTAAAGAGGGGGGAAAAACAAACAAAACAAAGGAGACATGAATAATAGAAGCAAACTTGCAGGACTAAAATGAATGCACAGAGTACCTGCCCTTCCTCTAGCCTAAAAGCCAAGAGCATCAATCATATCTTTACAATATGCATTTTATCAGCCATTACTCAGTTCTTATTTCAGGCTGAAGGTTCTACAACCCTTGACTCTGAATACTCATAACATCCATAGGATGATACACAATAGAGATTAAACTTTGTTCATGGCATACTTATTTCCTTAGAAACCTTTTTATAGCATCTCTGGCCCCAAAGAATTGCCTGTGTTCTATTTATTAAGTAGTTATATCCCAACAATTTGTCATTAGTAGTTTACACAAATGTTGCTGTTTTTTCTGGGAAATTGTAAAAATTCCACAATGCCTCTGTCAGATTGCTGCAGAGCCCTGAGGCACCCTGGCACATGGTTTGGGAAGCACAGATATACTACCTGTGGCATAGATAATATTAGTATCCCTATTTTGTTGATGAGAATTTGAGATTCAGAAAGGTTACCCAGCTGGTTTGTTGTAATGAAGGAATCTAAAAACACAGCCTAAACCCAGAGCCATTCTGTAATGCCAACCTCTCCCTTCTGGCTTCCTGTCTCACTGCATGTATGTTAGTATTTCTCTCTCCATCCAATATATTCTATAACCCTTCCCACCTTTGCCCAAACATACATGTACAGAGGCATGTGAACACAGATGCATGTTCATTCATGGGTTCAAACCATTCCCTCCCATTGGGATGCCCCTCTTTTGAGTATGATTTCGTAGAAAGTTTTCTGCTTCGATCTCTGGCCTCAAGTCTTATCTCTCAACCACTTGTTCCCATACTCATCTCCACTTCTTCCAACCCCATTTACCTATCAAATGGCATGTTAATGACATCTGGCCTTGCATTGTTCTCTAACGATTCTGTCAGTGTATATGTAGTTTTCCCAACAAGACTGAATACTTCCCCCAAACAGGAAGTGCATGTTATCCTGCGCTGGACATAAGGAAGCTACTATGGCAGTTTGCTGAAATCAGCAAGATGATCAAATGCTAGAATTTGATAACACGCTAATGCCTGGATGTAATTAACAGAGAATACAATTAACATAAAAGTAATCAGGAATGATAACTAACATCTACATGGCTTTTACATTTTATGAAAGGCTTTACAAAAATCTTTATGAAAGATTTTACTTGGTTCCCACAGCAGTCTGGTTATAATATTCCTGTCAAGGGAGAAAGCTGAAGCCTAAACAAGTTCAGTGACTGGGTAAAGTTCCAACCTGCAAGAGGAAGAAGTAGGGACAGAAGCCTAGTGCACTGGTCCTCTTTCTGGCCCTCTGTTTTTGGTCTGTCCTGCAGTAGCCTTTACAGATACACCACCTTTTGGCTCAGGTCCTATGCAAAGGGAAGGCTCTGTTTCAAAAGCGCTATCCAGATTTCAAGCCACCGGCACTCTGCCTTCCATACCTGGTTTGTGTTCCAGGCAGAGCTGTGAGCCCCTCGGAGATACTGCTGGGGACAATATTGGCCCTTGGTGGGTTCAGTGGGCTTGTGCAAAGTTTCAGGGCTGTCACGGGGAGAGGGAACCTCAAATCCATGTTTTCCCAAATGAGGTCAACCCAGTCTTCCCTCTTAGGATCAAGTAAATCACAGGGCTGGGACTAAGGGTTTCTGAGACTAACAAGCTTATGCAAGCAAAAATCTAGTTTAAGATTAAAAGCATGCCATGAAAATACAAACAGGCTGAAAATATGCATTGACTGTCTTTGGGTCATGAGAGCTTTGGTAAAACTAGCTAGGATAAGAGTTCAGAAGAGTCAGCCCCGGGGTTACTGTCAGATCTGTCACTACTGATAGATGATTTGGAGAAGTTACTTCATCTCTCTGAGTCTCAGCATTCCTGTCAATGAAATGAGGTCACAGGATAGTTGTGAAGAATAAATGGCAAAACAAACATAAAGGATGTCTTGGCAGGTGACCGACACTTAAAAGTAAGAGCCACTTCTAAAAGATGACAAATAGATTTCAGAGTGTGCTGCACCTACAGGCACTTATTTGATAAGAGAAAGCCACACTACTGTTACCACCAGTTTGAAAAGTTTTATGGGATAGTGTAGAAACACAGAAAAGCTCTAGCCTGGACTATAGCAGCAGACCAGGGAAGAGGAGAGTAAAAGAAAAGGAACCAGAAAGTACTGAAGGCAAAAGCATTGACCCAGAGAAACCTTGACAGGAAACAAAAGAAAGAGAGAGGAGGAGCTGATAATCGGTACTGAGCTTGAAAAGGAAAAGAAATAACTTGGATTGTTTAACTATAAATTTCAAATTATACCCTTTTCTTCTGCAACCGTCTCCAGGTAATTGGGAAGATCAAAATGTGTCATATTTATTTATAAAGCTTTATTGGAATTTCAAAAAAAAAAAAAGAACTAAACTTTAAGAAGAAAAGAGGAGGGGGGAAAAGCCATGGTGGCTCTTCCTTCATCTGAGTTTGGAATAGAAGCATTTATGCCAGGACCCTTCCATCACACATCCACCTTTCTGCAGAGAGGAAAGGCAGGTCACAGAGGTGGTGTACATGCAAGACATCTTGAAATTCTAAAGGACCTCACAAATGTTACTATTATGCAGAAGGAAGCACCTTCACCATCTTAGAGATCTATCTGAGTTTCCTTGAAATGCTAAAGGTCCAGGTGCTTTGGAGGGGCTGCCAGCATGGAGATACTCACAGTGATTGGGGTGTCCCAGCTGAGTGGCACATAATGTGACTGCTCCCCCAGGGAATTATGTGCACTGACCTCAGAGTAAAAGACCTTGAAAAGACACAGAAAGTCTGGTGAGAACAGAGCAAATATTTCTCTAAATCAAAGGTTCAAGTTACACCCACAAAGGCAGTGTGTCTGACCTGCATCATCCTATCCCATGCACTAGCTGGGAGGGAATGAACATTCATATACCTGGTCAGGCCACAAGCTCAGAAGCTACAGAGGCCTGGGGAAAGACCGGTATCAGTGAAGGTGGATGCAAAGTGTGGACTCACTTCCTCGTATGGTTCTCCGAACTATGACCCTCACAGGCAATATTCATTTTCCCACATGAGATATGAAACCAATGGCGGCTGTCTCTCGGTGAAGTGGAGATAGTAGGGAGTGGTGGAACCTGTGTGTTATGGAGGGCTTTAGTCCCATCTCAAATGGGAGTTCAGCTGCAGAAGGCAGGGTGCTCCCTAGAAATGTGGGCTCAGTGTGGCCAGGTGTCTGCATTCCCCCAAGATTTCAGAGGTCCAAATATTTATCAGACATGTCCTGACTTCTAAAATCTGTCTTGTTTCTAAGACTACCATCCAAAGAAAACATTTTGGTACACTGAAATCTGCCCAATTTGCAGGCTGTGATGGTAAGAATGCTTCTCTGTTCCTTCCTCCACTTTAACTATCCACTGCTTTAACTCAGATCTTAAACTATTTAGTACTTATTGACAGCATTCCACAGTGACTTCCTATGATTTTCCATGTTTCTGAGTTATTCTCCAAATTTGGCTATAGGCAACTGTAGAGTAGAGGCTATATTTTCTGTTTGCTTTATATTTTCCCACTGCTGCACAGAAAACATCCTAATGCAGATGGCATGTTCAGAGCTCTTACAAATGCCTCAAAACATTTCTTATAGTTTACCAAAGGAGAATGGGGTAGATGTTCATGTGGGGAGACTAATATAAGGAGCTCACAGATGGGTTAACTAAACATAATTTGAAATTTCAAATCTGAAACTTTTTGAGTCTCAACACCAAAAGTAGAAAATTTCATACATGATTTCATGTGATGGGTCACAGGCAAAACACAGAAGTATTAAAAATATTGGGTAAAATTCCCTCAGGCTAGGCATATAAGGCATATATGAAACATAAATAAATATTGGGTCATTTCCATCCTCAAGATATCTCATTGTGAATTTGCAAATGTTTAAAAATCTAAAGCATTTCTGATCAGAAGCATTTTGGATAAGGGATGTCAACATGTTATAGAAGGTACTGGGACAGGAAGGATGTACAGTCACCCCTGTACTTCATGTCCATGCACTCACTGTGTATCCAGTGATTGGGCTCCCAGAAGACTGTGGCATTTTCCACTTGATGCTGAAAGCTGTACAGTTCAATGCATCCAGCTTGATGTCAAGTGGAGGCCCCAACTTGCCTGCCCCCAAGCAAAAGAGTTGTATTAGACACTCCATGCATCCTATCTTGAATATATTTACACATGATTTTAGACCCTGCGCCTATTGACGGAGAGATCCTCAAAGATTCTTTCATAGGCCAGAAATGCAGTCATCGCTCTGATACACATCACCTGTCTCAGCGGACCCCACCAGAAATTTGCTATCCCTTTCACCCTGGCACTGGTGGAGATATCAGTCCCCCAAATTCTCTTGGTCCATTCTGCAATATCTAAAAGTAAGACATCAGCTAAACAAGATTCATGGCAGCAGACCCTTGATTCTTCTGACTTAACTCTAGGAGTCTGGAGTAAAGAAAGCTGAGTTTTTATTCACTCATGTTTTATATATAATCTGCACACATCTGCTTATCTAGCTAGTATATTCTTATCATGGAGCATTTTGAAAATATGTTTAAGTATAAAATGAGACAGTATATGTGCTGCCAGAGTGAGCACTATAAAATGAGATTAAAAATGTTCAAATGTTTTACTCTCCATTTATCTTAAACAATTGTATAATTAATTGTAAGTAAGCAAATTTTATAATTATAAAACATGCAAATTGCCAAAATTTAGAAGATGAAAAATATGAAATTCTCTCATTCAAAGATGAGTCCTGTCAGCATTTTAGTAAATCTCCTTTCGGTTATATACAATTAAGAAAGCATCATTTCATTCTGTGTGTATTTGTATATATAAACTTTTATTTATGCCCTTTTGTTGTACTTTTACTGATTGTGTTTATATGCATATATGCTCATAATTTTACCTACTCTTGCTTAATTTTCTATCATTAAAATCATTATTTTAATGGTTGTGAATGCATATAATGCATCCACTATACTCATATTCATTATTAAAATTTTATTCAATATTTTACCATTTTAAATAATGTTCTATGAGGGCAGGAACCAAGTTTGCCCTCTTTAGCATACTGAGACTAGTAAATAGTAAGTTCATTAATGAATAGATGCTCTGTAATCTGATGCTTTACATCCTAATATGTCACAACGTGCTTTCTTTCTTTTTTTTTTTTTTTTACCGGGGATCGAACTCAGGTCCTTGCGCTTGTGAGGCAGGCCACCGAACCGCTGAGCTAAATCCCCAGCCCTTGTTTTTTTGTGTGTGTGCTTTCTTTTTAATTGCTGCATATATTTTTTTTTTTTTTTGTACCGGGGATCGAACTCAGGTCCTTGCGCTTGTGAGGCAGGCCACCGAACCGCTGAGCTAAATCCCCAGCCCTTGTTTTTTTGTGTGTGTGCTTTCTTTTTAATTGCTGCATATAATTCTCTAGAATATCAATCATGATACTTTGGAATTTATAGAGATCTAATGTATCTATTTATTGGACTGGGGCCAGTTTATTGCTGCAGGGACAATTCACTAATTTTTTTCCATTGAAAAATTTCCATTACTTAAATTCATTTTAATGACTCATAAAAGCTGAGGAAATTGCTCAATTAACCCCAAGTATTATATTATATTAACTTTATATAACATACGTTTTGAGAAAAATCTCCAGATGTCTCAGATATTTCTTTTTTATTCTTTCCTGAATTAAATAATGAACTGTCTCACTAATCATTTTAATAACAAAACCCAAAGCTTTTCTGGTAGAGTAAGCAATAGAGTCTCAGTTCTGTCACTTAGCAAGAATTAGAGGCCAGATAGCAGCTTCCTTCTATCCCACAGACTCTTACATCTCTTACTTCTCAATGATTTGACCTTCAGTGTTCTCTTTGACTCTGCTTTGACCAAGATTCAAAATTTCATCTGACTGTCCAAACTTAGACCGCAAACTTCCTCTTGGTTCAACCAAAGATCAGAGTTCTTTCCAGTTTCTAAACTAGGAAATCACAGTGTGAGGATCCTGAGAATTATTCTTATAGCAGCCCATCTCTAGAAAAAAAGGCATGAGATCACAGAAAAAGAGCAGGAAGAGGTCATGTGACCAAACACTGTACCACACAGAGCATACATGTACATTAAGCACTACCCCATTGGTGGACATTTAGATCATTTCCCAAACTGTGCAATTAGAATAATGCCACAAAGAATATCTGTGTATGTGCCTCTTTTTTACAAATGAGCAAAAGTTAGTTATTTATGAAAAAATTAAAGACATGGGGTATATATATTTCAATTTTTGTAGCTGCTGATATTGTTTTCCCCCAAATATTAAATAAATAAAATTTTAAATATGTTTGGTTAAAGCAGAATTTCTGTACCTCTGACAGTTTCTCAGTCTTGGTGCTGCTAATATTTTGAGCCAGACAGTTTATAGTGACAGTTGACCTGTTTGCCTTATGGGACACTTAGTAGCATCCCTGGCCTCTATCTGCTAGATAACGGCAGCCTTCCTAACCCAGTGATGAAACTGAGGATATCCTGATACTGTCAATGTCCTCTGGAGGGTAAAATTGCCTTCCTCCAGCTTTAAGTAGCACCAATTTAGAAAAATGCTTATTTTGAAGACTTTTAACACATATAATCCCAATTCCATCTATAAAATTAAGCAATTTATAAACTATGGTGGTATATGAGAATGCTCAGTGCAAGTAACATAGCCTTGTCAGGCCTGAGCATCAACATTTGAAATATTTGGCTCTCAAAAGATATTGTCAAGACTGTACAAAGATAAGCCACAGACTGGAAGAGGATATTTGCAAAAATTCACACCTGATAAAGGGCTACTAGCAAAACATACAAATACTATAGATCTAATGTTCATGTCTGTCCAAAACTGATATGTTGAATCTAATTCTCAATGTCGTGGCACTTGAGGCTTGGGCTCTTGGGGTGAATAGGTCATGAGGATAGAAGCCCCATGAATGGGATTAATGGTTTTATAAAGGAGACCCCAGACTTCTCTTCCTTCCTTGCTGTTCTTGCTGACACAGAAAGAAGATCAAGAAGCAGCTGTTCACCAGACACTGAATGTTTCTTCATCTTGGACTTTCCAGACTCCAGAACTGTGAGAAATAAATTTCTATTGTTCATAAGCCATTCAGTTTATGGTATTTTGTTACAGCAACTGAAAAGACTATGATTACAACAATTCTTCAAGCCAACAATAAGAAAACAATCCAATTAAAAAGACCTTACAGATATTTCATTAAAGAAGATCTCCATATGGCAAATAAGCATAGGAGAAGATGCTCTACAATACACCACCAGGGAACTGAAAACTAAAATAGCAATGAGCTGTCACTACATACTTAGTGGAATGGCCAAAAGCCAGAGCACTGACATCACAAAATGCTGACAGAAAAGGGGAGCATCAGGAACTCTCATGTATTGCTAGTGGGAATGCAACATGGTGGTGCCTCTTCAGAAGACAACTGGGTGGTTTCTTCTAATAGTAATAGTACTCTTTTATTATCCAGCATTTGTACTCCTTGTTATTTACAGGAGTTAAAACCTAATGTTCACATAAAACCTTTCACATGATGATTTAGAGCAGTTTTAGTCATAATTACCAAAACTTGGAAATAAGCAAGATATCCTTAGGTGAATGGATGAATAAACTGTGGTACATTCATACAATGAGATATTACTGAGCACTAAAAAGAAATTAGTTAGTAAGCCATGAAAAGACATTGAATAATTAAAATAGCTGTATTTTAATAGGTCAATTATTGAAGTATTCCAGCAATTACATTCTTTGCAAATATTCAACTTACAATGGCAACTTTAGATCTCATTTTAAAAATAAGTGTAGTACCAGTGAGTAAAGACATATAGGAAACTTAAACACATATCATTAAGTAAAATAATCAATCTTCTAAAGATACACATTATTATTCTGACTACAACATTCTAGAAAAGACAAAACCATGGGGACTTCAAAAGATCAGTGGCTGCCGTGAATTAGGGATTGAAAGGTGGGAGGGATAAATAGGTGAAGGTCAGGATTTTTAGGACAGTAAAACTATTCTATATATTACGACAATGGCTATTCATTGTCATACATTTGTCTATACCCAGAATGTACAACTCTAAGTATGAAATTTAATTAATGGAATACCTCTAATGGACGCTGCCAACTTTATTGTGGAATACAGGCTGACCAGTGATAGCAAATGTAACACTCTGGTGGGGGGCATTTGTAAAAGGGGAGTCTACATATTTGTGCACATGTAAAGGTAGGGGGGTTAGGGAAAAACTCTCTGCCTTCCTCTCAATGTTGCTATGAATCTAAAATTGCTCTAAGAAAATTCAGGCAAACTTTGCAAATTTAATAGAAGAAAAGTTAACATTTTTATACCATTTCAGCTACTTTTCTTCCTCTATTCATCTGCTCTGTGCATTCTTCAGTTGGGTAGTTAATTCTTCTCATTGATTCATAAGGGCTCTTTATATGTTAAGGATCTGAAACTTTGACCCGTGTTTTCTCCATATAGTTTTATGACGGAACCCACCTGTGTAATTACCCACTATGGGCCAGGTTTACTGCTAAGTAAGGAAGACCATGCTAACACAAACTCAAAGGTATCTGAAAAGTGGAAGGAAAGATAATGGAAATAACTTATAAATCCTTTCCAGAACCAATAAGCACAGCCATACCCATAACCTTAGGAATTTCATCTGCTTCCTTTGTTCTGGGAAACATTGCAGCTGACTGAAATAGGCTAATTGGGTCCATAAGAAAAGAACAAGTCAGCCTGTCTCTGTGTGTCTACAATAGTTCAACACAGAAAGAAGAAAACACTAGATATTTTAAGCAAAATAGGTAATTATGAAAATTGGTTGAAAGGCTAGAGGACTGGAACTCAGGAGTCTCTATTGGCTCAGTTTGAAAGAGTGAGAAAGCTCTATAGAAGTGATTCAGAACCAGGAAACTACTACCTTCACCCTTCATGCTACCATTACAGCAGCCATGCCTTATGACACCAAAGGTGGAAGTCGGAAGGTTATATGTCATGCTCTGATGGCTTCTCTTGGCTGGAGGAATAGTATCTGGACCGTGAACTCTAGCC